TATTCAGCACTGACCATTTTTCTTTACTTTTAAAGCACAACACAAGACCAGCATTTGTAGATCTCTTCTGTGTAAAGCACTTGCGTTACGATTGAATTGGTCAGTCGGCACCTTAGTGCAGATGGAAGACCGAAACGGAGAAGACAAGATCAATCCCTCCCTATTAGTGTGGACGTAGCTTCAAGCACCATTAGTCATGTTTTTACTTCTCCTTTCTCACAGAATCTCCTGACCTTTTCTGTGTTGTGTTTTCCACACTCACTAATACTAGTGTTAATTTCGTCAGCTATTTTTTAATTTAGTTTTATTCTTAGTCCTGGGTTAAATTTTCTTTTTAGTTTTAGTCATATTTAGTCACCTTCATCCTGTTTTTATTTAGTCAAGATTTAGTCGACTAAAAGTCTGAGCATTTTAGTCTTATTTTAGTCAAAGAAAACTAATTATTTTAGTCTACTTTTTGTCAATGAAAACTGTTGAGTCTTTTTTAGTCATCAGATTATATAGAACATTTCAGTCAAACTAGTCTAGCCAAAACAAATAATTTGTCATTTTAGTATATATAAATAAATAAGATTATATCTTGTCCTTATTTGATGAAAAACACAGGTTGAATGATTAAGAATGCAGCTTTGCAGAGAGTATCTGGTCAGGTTTGTGGTGTTTTCACCAGCTGTGTTATGGCCACATTGCTTCCCTTCTGATAAAACAATGCATTCGCTTTTTTTCTCCGCCTCATTGTAGCGAAAATGGGCCCAAATATCACATAGTTTCTTTCTCCCAAGCAGTGGTGGCTTTAGACTTTTTCGTTGTCAGTCATTTTGATGGACAGGATCGTAACATTTCCGTCATAATCCATTATTATCCGTCGAGTGCACAATTTATCTCTCACTCGCGCTGACGGGGGGGGGGTCTTCGGTCGGGGGGGGGTCTTCGGTTAACGCGAGTGCGACCACTGCTCCCAAGCCCTGTTGTTGCCATTTTATTTTCTGTTAAATAAGGTTAGTTAGACCATGAGTTAGACCCGAGTCTTCCTGACAGTTCACAGTGTGCCGCTGCCCGGTGTAATTCAAATCTACCGCCGCGCGCACCGCAGACACACAGCTGCTGCCCTGCCGCAGCACCGGAAATGGAACTGCTGGGAGAAAAACGGACTATCAGAGATGTAACGTTATCTTTGATAATATTTCGTCTCCTCATTTTTCGTCAACGAAAGTAAAGAGAGATTTTGGCATAGTTTTTATTTAGTAAACTACATTTTCGTCTCGTCACTTTTCGTCAACGATATTGCATGATGATTTCGTTACAGTTATTGTTTACTGCCGTCGGTGCCGTCTCGTCATCGTCTCGTTTTCGTCATGGAAAAAAAGGTCGTTGACGAACATATTTCGTCATAGTTTTAGTCAACGAAATTAACACTAACTAATACCCTCACCCACTTTGCTCCAGTAACACATTGTAATACCGCAGAGCATGCCAACATTAGATTACCAGTCTCAGCGTTTGAGAGAGGGGGGTAAGTTGGAGGTCCCGCCAGTGCTTTGCAAGTATCGAGCCAGGTCAACATTTCCCAGCTTCCACACCTAAGATGACGAGAAACGGGTGGAGGAAGCAGACGAGGATGCTCAGGGGTGAAGGGGGCAGGTGTTGCTTTTGGGCACCTGCGCTGATTCGTGGAAGAGAACTGGAACCGTCCGGCTGAAGCTGAGTGCAGGACGGGGGGTGAGGAAAACGGAGAGAGGGTCAAGGGTAAGATGACTCCTAAACACAGGAACATGGAGGCAGATGGTTGAAAGAGAAGAAAGGCGGACTTCAACCTCCAAAAGCCTTCTGTGTCGGTATAGTCCTATGATATGAAAGCTAGCCAACAAAACGAGCTCCCTTACTGTTGGTAATAAAGCAGTTGGCTCTGTATTCATCTTTCAAGCAAATTTGATTGGTCAATTAGGATCCCTGTTGTGAGCATGGTTTATTCTCAGAGGTGATTCATAGTTTCTAAGAGCGCTATTTTGGTAGCTGCATCCATTGTGTTGCTGCTATAAATCATGAATTTTGTATCTTTTTAGATGTTCAATCAGTCATCTACATGCATTTGTATGGAGCTGTTGGAAACAAACAGTGTAAGCACAGCTCAGTTTCAGTTGTTTAAAACGGTTGTACAGGGACTTGATCAGGGAGGAGTCGCTTCAGTCACTTTGCCATTTCAGGGTGAGGGAGTCAAACCCGTGCACAGTCTCCACTGAAACCAGAGAGAGCTGACCTTACAAAAGTATTTAAACATAAGACTTACTCAACACTGGAAGCCAGAGGGGGGCCTCAATTGTTTGCTGTTGTAACACGGCCGGCTTTAGTGTTGCTAAAGGCTCAGATATGTGTTCAGTTCAGGAGTGTGAGACCAACATTTCTCTGATTTTGTCAGCCCTTGAAACTGGTTTGAAGAAGGTAACTGCCATATTTATGCACAGAAGAAGACTCGAGCTGCAAAGACCTACACAGAATTCACAATAAACGGCCTTGTGAAAGACGACTGTTTAACAATATGTAGATGGTTAACTCAGAGTTATTTATGGGTGCTGTTTATCTTTGTTGTTGGTGGTGAGTGCCAATAACACAAAGCCTATTCATCAATCTATGTAATCATCAACTGTGTTTACAATATAATTATTCTACTGAAGGCATATACTACTTATTAGTCCTGTGTTTCTACACATACATGTATAGGTGCACATTTGACACCCAAAATGACATTTGAAACTGACGCTACATGTAGTCAGTTCTTGTGTCAAACCCAAACTATGAAGAGAAAAATAAATATTCATAAAGCCTGAAACGAAGTGTTGATTTCGATTGTGCCATGAGAGTCAGGCAAAGAGTCATCCTGAGATTATAACTCATCACTATCTGGACAAAAAAAGTGTTCTAAAAACGAATGATTTAGCTGCAGTCCCACATTAGTTCTTGATGGATTGCCTGTAATGGCCGTCAGAAGCAATCTGAAGGATTTCCACAGTCACTTTTTGACAACCTGACTTAGTGCTGCAATGCAGACCAAAGGCGGCGGAGACAAAAAATAGAATGAATAGAGAGGGTGTGTGTGTGTGGCCTAGCATTACTATACTTGTGGGGACCTAAATCTGTTTACACAGTCACATGTGGGGACTCGCCTCCCTTATGGGGACAAATTGGAGGTCCCCATGAGGGGAGTCATTAATTTTAGGGTGAAGACTTGGTTAGGGTTACGCATGTGTTGGTTATGGTTAAGGTTAGGATAAGTCTCCAGGAAATGTGTGTGTGTGTGTGTGTGTGTGTGTGTGTGTGTGTGTGTGTGTGTGTGTGTGTGTGTGTGTGTGTGTGTGTGTGTGTGTGTGTGTGTGTGTGTGTGTGTGTGTGTGTGTGTGTGTGTGTGTGTGTGTGTGTGTGTGTGTGTGTGTGTGTGTGTGTGTGTGTGTGTGTGTGTGTGTGTGTGTGTGTGTGTGTGTGTGTGTGTGTGTGTGTGTGTGTGTGTGTGTGTGTGTGTGTGTGTGTGTGTGTGTGTGTGTGTGTGTGTGTGTGTGTGTTAGAGAGGCGTCTTTGAAGACAGTTTTGAAACTACATGCTCTTCTCAGTCATGCACACAGTTGTTGTCATTCTTAAGAGACCCCCGTCGTGGTCATGGAGGCTGACTGGTCCCGACACTGATGTCCAGTGTGTGTTTTGGTTCTAGGAGAGAGCGCCTCCCTGCTGTGAGCGCAGAGTCAGAGGCAGCAGGTGCAGCTGACGCACACAGGCTTTTTAGCAGGCAGGGCCAGTTGGGGGACAGAAAGGGAGAGAATGAGTGAGAGGCAGAAAGCCAGATCAGACCTCTGAGTGTTACCGGACCAATGCATTTATCTGCCCTATTCTAGTCCTCGCACAGTATGTGACAACCAAGGGAACATGACCTGAACTGCCCAGAAATGTCCTCAGCTTCAAAGGTGTGCGTGAGTGTGTTTTTTTTTAAATGGTTTTATAAGTACAACGATTGTTTGGAGCTCAAGCAATCACCTGTAAGACTTGAGGAATGTGTGAGGTGCGTAGTTTTGTTTGAGCGTTTTTTTTTATCAGTTTAATTACGATACAATATATAAGATACAATAACTGTTCAAAAAGTCAAGAGTGTTGTGCTGGGATCATGGTTAACAGCAAAATATCAGGAAGCTTTTACTCATTATACTCCTGCTTTATCTACCTGTTAAAGGGGACTTATTAGAGTTATTTCTTATACTCATGTTATCTGAACATGGCAGCGCACACAAAACTGACCAAGTTTACAGAAATGTGTTTTTTTCATGATCGGTCTTTAATATACTTGCTATATATACCCATGCTTCTTGTAGCATTGTGGGTGAGTGTTGAGGAACTGCTGAAGAGTTGTGGACTCTGTGTGACTCTGCAGTGAATGTGGTCCTCACTCTTCATTGTGTCAAAGAGCCGGCGCGGTCTCCGCCTGCTGAGACCAAGTCACATAAAGACATACTGTTCAGCATGAGAGAGAGAACGACAGAGAAAGTGATGGGTGGATCGCAGCCAAATCACAGTGTTGAGATAGTGTGTGTGTGTGCACTTGTGTGACAACCGCCTGGTGTTACCAAGACCCGAAGTGGCTCGACTCATTTCATGATGCCTTAATGAGCATTATAGATTATTGTGTAACCCAGACCTCACACTGATCAGGTCTTTCAGTATGTAGTTGCTTAAATGTGCATATTATATTGACCAAAGTAACCAAGGGAATGCTCCCAATGCCCTTGATCCATCGGCATGCTTTTCAACACAGCTTCTCCTCCTCTCCCTCATTTCTCCCCCTCGTTTGTTATCCTCCTCCGCCGCCATTGGCTGCCTCCTCTCCTTCTGTCCGTCCCCCCTGCTCACGGATAGCGAGTCAGCGGTACACATGTCTCTTCCACATTCGTCATTGGCTGGCGTGTGCTGTGAATGCGGATCCTTTCCTTTAAGAGGCAGTCTAGACTAAGCTGGCTGCACGGATTGCTCTCCTCTCTCTCGTTCGCTCGCTCGTTCCTTCTCTTTCCTGCAACACCACTACAACCTGCTGATTTATCTTCTTGCTTTCTCTCCTCCCGCCACCAGCCGTTCTCTTCCACTGTCATTAATTTAATTATCGTTATATCACATGTTCACCCTTCAGTTTTAATCCTGGTCCATTTGTCTTTTTCAACCGAATATTTCCTTTCGTCTGTTTCTATCCCCAATACTGTCATTTCTGTCTTTGACATTCTTTCATGTCCACCACTTTCTCTCTCCATTGATGTGAGAAGACATGAAGGTGAGTGGAGCTGATTTACAGGCCTACTCGTCTCTTTTTTCTGCTTTTTGTCTTAACCATAGCTCTTAACTTTATAAGCCATCTGGTAGATGACAACTGCAGGACAGTGTCCTTGTAGGCAGAGAATGCAGCTGTGTATGCTTCAGGTGTAACAATTATATAGTGCTGGTAGTGATGCTACTGTGAGTCATCCTCTGACGCTGCATGTATGTTCTCTTGTCCTTTCAGCATGTGCCTACAGATGAAAGGTTAGTTGATGAGTGGAGGATGGGGGGGCTTTGAAATCATTGCGTGGAAAGTGTAGCCGTATGTCAATGCAGCCTGTAGATCGTGACAGTGTTTTGCAGCAGCTGTGCTGCAGTGGCATCTGAGGCAGATTAATGAGCACTGTATGGCAGCGAGTGATCACTGGAAGTTTCTCTTCAGTCAGGGAACATAACATAACATAACAAAAGCTTCCAGAGCCCAGTGCCGTAACAGGTTATTATGCTCTGTGAAGTAGCTGGATAGTACACATTATCTTCAGTTTGTAAAATAATGTCAATATTCTCCACATGGTTTGAGCAACTTCCCTTAAATGTGTCCCCATCTAGGCATCTTGAAAAATATTCAAGCACAGATCACTTGTGGACCTGATTTAGTCTTGTTTCCCCACATAGTATTTTCTGTGTCAGTGCCCTCATTATGTTTGTTATGTTTTGCCACCTGGCACCCACAGGAAGAAAATGTGTCATCCAGAAATAATCGTCAAGAGCATGTAGCCTCAGAGAGCATGTCACTCAAGTGATTTTATTTAGAGTATCTTTTTAAATGGGAAAGCAATTTAATTCTAGCTGAGTATGAGATGGTAACATACTGCTTTTAATGTATTGTGCTTTTCTATCTCCGAGGAAAAATTGCCTATTATAGTTTGCCACACACACACACACACACACACACACACACACACACACACACACACACACACACACACACACACACACACACACCACTGCCATTCCAAGACGCTGGCCTGCCCATTGGGAGCAATTTTGGGTCAGTATTGACTTGCTAGAGTACACTTAGACATGTGGACAGAAGAAGCAGAGGATTGAACCGGCAACCATTAGTGGATGACCTGGTCTACCTCCTGGGAAACAGCAATCCCCAGATAGTAAAGTTTCATACAATCATACAAACTCGAAGAAATCTCCAATATTAGAAAATCTCATCTAATGGCAGTAACAAATGGTGGGAATACTTGGATTTAAAGTTTTCTAAAAGAGAGTTGCATATGTTTGAAAGAAGAACAACTAAATATTCTCAACTTGTCCATAAATTACCAATCTCCCATTTTCTGGAGTCTATGGAGATGATTCCAAAAATGGTAGCCACGGTTACATCAGTTTAACAACATCACGAAAACATCATAATGAGTCGTCAATTAAAATCCGCCTGAAAATAATTGGGCAATTATAATCCAAAGTAGCTGCTCTCAAATATTGCTAGCTGTCATAAAATCAAGAGCAATCACCTCGGACAGCTCCCACATCCCTGGTGGTCTCCGGTTCAGCACCCTGGACAGCGGTCCTGACACACTTTAGTGCAGAAGGTTATAAAAGATTTACCTGAGCTCAACATGGAAGCTGTATGTAACTGTAGGATTATCTATTTATTGTAACAAACATATATCACAGCTGAACATTAAACAGTTACTCGCAATAGTGTTGTTGGTACTTGGATTCCTGCTGCCAGATAAAGTCAATTAACCTGAGCCGCTGCCCCTCGAAAAGAAAAAGGTGGGCTTTAAGAAATAAATGCAAAGCTCTCTGACACATTATCAGTATTTAATTCCATGTGGCCTTTTAAACCAACTCTATTTTGTTGTGTAGAAATTGGAAATGAATGAATGATAATTTAAAGTGAAATTCCTTTTATTCTGTTGTAAAACCTGCTGCTACTGTGTAGCGATTCTGCCTGTCATACCAACACACACAATCCCTCCTGTGATACAAAACCTACCCGCCCACTCCTCCACAAGCCATTAAAAATGTCTCGTCAGCTGTGACAAGGGGGGTCGATAAAAGAGGCGAACAAACCAAAATGGAAGAGATTGTTTTGAGGAAGCGGAGACGCTGACCGACGGCGCAATCGTCACGGGGGGGAAAAACCCTCTATTGGCTGCACGGAAGCTGGTGCTCGCTGTTTCTCTCAGAAATGTAAATAGAACGCCGGCAGGCGCTGACACTTCCGGGTTGGGAGTATAGTCAGGGAAGACGGCATAAAACCCGGTCTGGACTTAATACTCAGACCTGACTACACGAAGCAGTGTAATCTGTATTTATTTAAAGTGTTCTGTGGGAGGATGGGGAAATTAAACAAAGATGTGTTTTCTGTGGTTGGTGAACTGAACTGAATCTAATACGCTATGTGGATTATTGTTTTGGTATAGCCGTGGACTGTACAAAGAAAACCTGGAACGGAGTTTTGTGGATTATGTTATTTTTGTTGGACTATTTTTCATGAACTATATTGATTACACTTTTTTCACTCACATGGGACTCATTGTTTTTGAACTATTGAATATATTATTTGTCTGCATTTAAAGAGATGTGTTGTGTGTTTTTGTTCAAAGGTATTCATTTACTATATTGAAAATATAGAAATATTTTACTGGTTAAGAGGGACATGGGCTGTATGTTTTTCCTGTCGGTAACATGTACCCTTTGTAGGGTTTGACTTGATCTTAACTCTAAATTGTCAGGCTTGACCTGACTGGCACCCAGCAACTATAGTCAAACCGCTACAATTGTATGTAATATGTGCATGTCTACATTTAAATACTTTATCCTTAACAACTATTCAAAACACAACTTGTCCCTCTGAGTGAGTTCCTCCACCTCATCTCAAACATCTCTCCTAAATTATTTTACTTAGCCAAAAAGTAATTCCTTCCCTCCGGTATCAATGGCTGTGAGTTTTTCATTAATTCCAACATTTTACTGTTTCATCTCCAGTTTATGCTCTGCATCATAATGATCAGCAATACAGCAACATACTCCTGTAATGCATTCTTACCCACTTGAAAACATAACCTTCAGAAAGGTTGCATAACATTATATGCAACACATTTTATTAAGGTATTGAAGTCTTTAGTGCTTTCAAAGCTTCAAGGTCCCAATTAATCATTCATTAAAGCAGCGTGAATGCTCACAAGTCACACAGCTTGATCGTGTAGCCTGAGGTGGTGAGGACCCCTACTAAAGATCATAAAGCCAATCTTTTGGCAAGAAATCTGTTTTATGAAAGCTCTGTTTGGCTTGTAAGACATGCATGAATCCTGGCACATACTGTGTTCTCTGGATATTTGCTGTATGTACAATAGGGCTGAACGATTAATCGATTTTAAATCGAAATCGCGATTTGAAATGATGCGATTATCAAATCGCAAAGCCTGCGATTTCTTTTAACATTTTTTTTGTTTTGTTTTGTTCTTCTTGTGTGTCAGTCATCCACACCAATCAGAAGTGCTGTGCTCCACATGTACCAGCCATTGTTAACCAATCAGAAGTGGCCCATGATAGAAGGTGATAGACAGATTGATCCAATCACCTGCCAAGTATTTTTGAAAGGGCCTGCCCTTTCCAAATGGCTTCCAATGGAGCTTTCCTAGGCAAGGCAAGTTTATTTATATAGCACCTTTCAACACAAGGCAATTCAAAGTGCTTTACAACAATGAAAGACATTAAGAAAATGGCATTTCAAATCAGTCATTAAAAAGCAAAGATATTAAAATAAACATTAAAATAAAAGTTACAGTGCAGTCTAAGATGTGAATAGTTCAATTAAAAGCAGCGACAAAAAGAAAAGTCTTCAGCCTGGATTTAAAAGTAGTCAGAGTTGCAGCGGACCTGCAGGCTTCTGGGAGTTTGTTCCAGATATTTGGAGCATAATAACTGAACGCTGCTTTACCATGTTTAGTTCTGACTCTGGGGACAGAAAGCTGACCAGTCCCTGAAGACCTGAGAGATCTGGATGGTTTATAATTTAGCAGGAGGTCAGAAATGTATTTTGGGCCTAAACCATTCATAGCTTTATAAACCAGCAACAATATTTTTGAAATATATTCTTTGACACACAGGAAGCCAGTGTAAAGACTTCAGAACAGGAGTGATGTGATCCACTTTCTTAGTGTTAGTGAGGACTCGAGCAGCGGCGTTCTGAATTAGTCTTTTAATCCTAGAAATATTCTTAAGGTGATAGTAAGGCAAGGCAAGGCAAGTTTATTTATATAGCACTTTTCAACACAAGGCAATTCAAAGTGCTTTACAAAAAATTAAAGACATTAAGAAAATGGCATTTAAAATCAGTCATGCATTTAAAATCAGTCATAGTAGGCTGATTTAGTAATTGTTTTAATGTGACTGTTGAAACTCAGGTCAGAGTCCATGACTACACCTAGATTTCTGGCTTTATCTGTTGTTTTGAACATTGCAGACTGAAGCTCAGCGCTAACTTTTATACGTTCTGCCTTGGCTCTAAAAACCATTTCCTCAGTTTTATCTTTGTTTAATTGGAGAAAGTTCTGACACATCCAGTCATTGATTTGTTCAATGCACTTACTCAGTGTTTTAATTGGAGCATAGTCTCCTGGTGAAATGGTTATGTAAATGTGTGTCATCTGCATAGCTATGGTAACTTATTTAGTTGTTTTTCATTATCTGAGCCAGTGGTAGCATGTAGATGTTAAAGAGAAGAGGCTCCAAGATGGAGCCTTGAGGTACCCCACATCTCCTATTTGTCAACTCAGATGTGTATTTACCTATAGAAACAAAACAATTTCTGTCCTTTAAGTAGGATTCAAACCAATTTAGAACTGTTTCCGAAAGTCCCACCCAGATGGTTCCTAGATGGTTTGGTGAAACAGGTTAGTAATGCTCCATCACATGTTTTACATCTATTACAGGGTGAATCTTAAACTGAAGCTTGACTTTAAAGCAACCCAACGGAAGTTTCATGTA